TAGAGGCCTTGAGTGAGGAAGGACAGCACTTACCTTTAGGGAAACAAGGGGATTTTATCCTCACCAAGCAATGAGTTCTGCAGTGTCAAATCCCCACTCTTCAATAGCTGATAATGACACTCTAAATTACAGCTCTTAGCCACTTCTCAGAGTAGACTTTATCCTCTACTTTAAAACATTTTTTCCCCTGCAATATAATTTTTCCTTTTTCCCTTTCAAGGTACTGCATTCTATAGCTGTTTTTTTCCCTCCTAATTCCTCTGCAGGGAATTCTTACCCCTAGCCCAATTAAATTCCAAATGTTGGACATCGACATACCATTTCTCTCTAAAGTTGACGCAAGGTTTTATTTTGAGAGAAAAGATTACGTAGACATTAGCATGAAAACTGTGCTGTTTGGTTTTTTGCCAAGAAATATCTCAACAAGGCAGTAGAAGTCTCTGGATTGGGCACCCAGAGCAATCTGCACAGTGGGGTGTTTGGTCTTGCTATCCAGGCAGAACTACAATAATGAAAGCACATCTGGGAAACACTAGAAACCGAACATGCAGGGTTTGGAATCTGGCCCTAATTGGCAAAAATTGTATTTCTTTGAACATTCTTGCCTGGTTTAAAGGAATTTTATTTGGCAATTTTATTCATCCTTTCAATATTCTTGTTAAGAATAGAAAAGCAGGTATTATTAAGTTAAGGGAATTGAGTGATATGCCTAAAATACAGAATATTCAACTTTTAACTCAGGAGACTTTGTTTCTAGTCTATGTATCTTTCTTTCTGAATAAATTAATGAATTTTGGAATGACATACAGGCATTTTCTTTAAAACAAACACGTAAAAAAGCAAGGAAAACAAGGAGACTATTAAATTCCACGGTGTTCACCACAGGGAGACCAATAATCATCTTTTATAAAAATCTTTTCTTTGATACTGGGGAGCAGAGCAAATAAACAGATGTAATTCCCTTTTATTTATTGTATCATTTGTGCTACATATAATTGAGTGCCCAGAACATACATTGCATTGAAGCAGGCATAAGAAGGAGTATAAAGGAAATTTTCACTGCAGTTGAGGAAATGAAACACACATGGAAAATTAAGTGCAAAGCAAGATTGTAAAATGAATTGAACCAGGGGTCAGATTAAATAAAGATGGAGTGGTCAGGGTGTCTTTCATGAAAGAGGCAACCTCTGAGCAAGAGTATGATAAGTACGTTGGGTTTCAAGAGGCAAAGAAGAAACTCAAGACCATGTAAGCAAGAGGTATAACAAAAACACAGGGGACACCAACTGAGCTTGAGAGCAAGTCTTTATCAGCCTTGTGAAGTAGATGGCTCCTGTTGGAGGAAAGTGAGAGGTAAAGTCAGAAACATGAGTCACTGAATGATTTTGAATCATAACCTGGTGGCCACAGTGGTTTACGGAGAAAAATGGAATGATGGTTTTCAGGCTGGTTTGGAGAAGAGACAGGTTGGTAGCAAGAAGATAAAAGAGGACATAATTATTTAATCCAGGCTTTAGATGTTCAGATCCCAAACAAAGATGATGGCAGTGAAAAAAAAAAGAGAGAGAATTATTGCTAGTAGCAGCATGAAGGAAGTTGGTAAAATTGATTAGATATGGGCGATCGGGAAAGTGAAACCTACATGAGGAAGAGAATTGAACTGTCAGTATTTAACACATGAGGAAGTCAGAAGTAGTTTTAGTAGCTGTGCAGTCTATTCCTTTTCACACTTCAGGAAAAGTAACACCTAGTTCTCTCATGGCTATAGTCTGTAGTTCACAACCATCTTCCTCATAAGGACACATCACATTCTTAAGTAGCTGCTTTTCAGGCACAAAGCAATGAATACCCAGCCGAGGGTCCTTCTCTAGCTATAATTGAGCACTGAAGTGGGAGTTAGGAAATCTGGGTGGCAATTCAGTCTTGATAAGGGGTTCATTCTGGTGGCTGGGGTTAGATAGACAAGCTTTGAATCAGTCTTTCTCAAACTGTGTTCTACAGAATGATAATAATCCCTGAAGATGCTCTTAAAGAAAAAAAATACCACAATTGAAATTGTTTGCAAACATCAGAAAGTCTATTTCCCTCTTGGAGATGGTGGAACTTTACTGGCCCAGCGAAAGGCTTCCCTTTGACCCACAATACTGACACATCCCTCAGAACTAAGGGCCTACTATGGAGAGACGGAACTAGCTCCTAACTAAATAATAATCTATGGTTGTGGGATATGGCTAGTGATCCAAACCAAAACAGCAAAACAAGGAATATAAAGCAAAGGGAAAATATGATTAGAAAGTTAGAGGTTAAATGCTGGGTCAATTAAAATAGCAATGAGATACAGGAACTTGCTGTGAGGAGAGGGGCTGGCACAGGCAGCCTATAATATAATCTCAAGACAAATCTCCCTAAGTCAGGAATGACCATCAGTGGACTCTTTTTTTTTCCTCCTAGTGTTGTGGTCATCTGACCCTACTGAAGAAAACGGTATCTATTTATCTATACTGTCACTTAGACTTAAATTTTTAGATTTTGAATGGGTGTTCACATTCTTCTTAGGAATTCTAACTTCGGGGAGAATAAAGCCAGATCAAAGGGTCCTTTCTAGATTCATTGACTGCCTCCAAGTGAAGCTGGGTTTCTAGGGTAAGTCTGAAGTCAAAATTCTTTTGCCTATGATCAGAATGAAACCTGCTCCCTGAGTTCTTGGCAAATATTGCAAACTTAAAGGAACACATTTTCTTACTCAGAAAGTTAAGTGCACAGAAAGTAAGTGCTCCAGCCACTGGGGGGAAGAGGAGATTATCCTTAAGTCAGTGGGATATTATGTAGACTATCTCAGAGTTATAAGGATCCTTACATCAGTTTTTCAAAACATTCTCATACCTATTGATTCATTTGATCATCACTGGATGCCCTCTATGGTGTTTCTTCTCTAGCGTTTTGCAGATGACAACACAACAACCACCCCGTGCCCCCAAGTTGAGAGGCCTTGTGCTGGGTGTTTTATGCTCATTGTCTCATTTAGTCCTCATAGCAACTTTGTAAAGAAGGCACACATTATAATTTCCATGATACAGCCAAGAGCCCAGGTGACAGGGCAAAAAAGAGTGTCATAGCCTGGGTTTGGACCCAGGTTTCTTGGATTCCAGAGTCCACATGCTGCCACCTCTGAGCAGTCAGAGTCAGTTAAAGGCCCCTTGTGCCCATCACCTTAGCACTCCCTCCATTCCTGACCCTGCTCGTGCACTGCAGCACTTTGTCTTTGGTGCTGTGTTGTCACAGGCTGTCGAATCCCTCCTGAAGCCAGGAGTTTGTCATGCCTCTCAGCTATAGTGTCAGTCAGAAGTGGGCATTCTACAGACTGGGGGCCAAAGCTGGCTGCTGCCTGTTTTTCTAGGCAGAATGAAAAAAAAATCTCTCTTCTTGTAAAGAGATACCAGGAAGCAGATAGTCTAGCATAGAAGGGAGTTTTGAATAGACAAATACCACCCTAAAATGAAGCCCAGGTAGACGCTATCTAACAACTTGTTGGCGCTTCTTGGCTCAGGGAAACACTGGAAAAAGGCGAGAAGGGCCAGGAGAGGTATGCACAACAATCCAAATAAGCAGGTGGTATTAAAACCACTAGAAGTTAGGAAACTGAGACTCCAAAGGAGGTTAAGTAATTATTCACTATTGCTTAGGAGCAAGTGACTTCTCACAGGAGCTCAGACACCCGGGCCTGCTCCTGTGATTATAATATCCTGACAAAGCAGACCGTCTGTGTAGAGACACATCCTTCTCTGTAATCAGGCACAACTGTCTCATCTGAGGCAGTGTAGCGAAAACACAGAGCCAGCCAGTTATTTTTCCTGCCCACTGCAGCTGCCTCTGGGTAGGCACAGAGGACTTGTGATGCCCAGGGGAAAAGTAGCAAGCAAAATCAACCCAGTCTGTGGCCATTTGTCCCCGAATGGAAATCTGACATGCAACACCAATGTGTTTGAGTGTAGATATGGTAACTGGTAAATGAAAAGATGACCACCTTCTGCAGTAAATGAGTCATCCGTGGCTTTGGGGAACCAAGATTAAAACAGGCTTCCAGAATAGCAGCTTCTGTTTAAAACTGTTGGAATGAAAACACTGAGGATATCCACGGCCTCTGAGACACAGTCGGCCAGTTCTCAGGGGAGACAGTAACTGGACTATTTAATAGTCCAGCCTTCCTTTTGCTCTAATGCAGTAGAAGTGGGATTTTAAAGACAGAACAGTAGACTGTGAGTCAAAAGTCCTGATTCCTAGTTTTGGCTCTGCCTCAGCTCATTGTGAGAGTTTGGGCAGTTGTCTTCACTCTCCAGACCTCAGATTCCTCAACTGCAAAATAGAGAGAGTGAAATGGTATCTAAAATTTTGTCCAACTTGAAGTCTGTCTACTTCCTATTAAAGTAGTTCAGTAAAAATCCAAAGGTGGGAATCACATCTTCCCAGCAGTGTAAAGATTACCCTATAGCTCTCCTCCCCTCCCTGCCTCCTTCTTTCTCTTCTTTCTTCCTTCCTTCGTATCCCTTCCCTCTCTTACAATGCCTTTTTCCCCAGGAAGCAGAATCTCAGTTCAGGAATTACACACAGTGTGCCGTTCACTTAAATTGGAGCCATCTTTCTGCCTCCAATCCTAGCTCTTCTAAGTTTCTCCTTTTCCCTCATTTTACTTTTCTGATTCCACCAAAGAGAGTATGGAACCCAAGAGCAAGTGTCTCGAAAACACTAAAAAGTCTTCCTTTTGCCTTTGGATTCAGGTTTCCACACTGCCCTTCCCCGCCGCATCTAAAACAAATGCTCACTAAGATCCTTAGAGAACCGCAGGGCAGGAGCGTTGGGCTGGGGGAGTTTGTTTTATTTGAGCCTTCGGTCAGGGCAGAAATATTTCAGCTCAACAGTTATCAGCCTCATGTGAAAATAATAATAGCACGCAACACACAAACACCAGCCAAGTTGTGGTTCCCGCTGCCTCTGATACTCACAGTTCAACCGCATTCCTGGGGAGGTCGGAGGGGATCTCTGTCACCTTGCTCTCTTGGCAAAGGAAAACCCCGTTAGAGCATTGACAGATCCGATGATGACATCCTGAGCCCAAGCTCAGGAAAGCCAGCAAGGACACCAGGAGCAAGGCCATGTTTATTTATCCATCCACCTGCTTTCTTCCTGCATCTGCAGAGAAAAATCTCCAGACTTCAGAGGCTCCACACTGTGCCCTTACAAGAAGAGATCTGCCTTGGGAGCCAGTAGGGTCATGTGACCCACCAAGAGATGCTTCTTTTTTTTCCTCTGGGGCATTTCCAGACAAATAGCAAAATTCCTGTGTACCAACAGTGATTTTGAGGGACAAGATAAGCTACTCCCTTATCTTTCTCGACTGGGTTTCTTACACCCTGACCCAAGGAGGACAGCATAGAGAACCTCAATGCGTGTCTGGAATAGTTTATATTAATATCACTCTAGAAGTGTCCCTGTTGGTCACTATTCTCTTCTCAAAAGAGTGACATGATTGACTTTCTCCAAAAAAGATGCAATCCACAATGTGAAACATCACTAAGAGTGTCACTCAGTGAAGGGCAGTGACCTGTTTCTAGTCTTGGCATCAACCTCTTCCTCCAGCTTGTTTGACATAAAACCTGAATTTCTGGGTTTAGCCATTTACCCTCTTTCTTGCTGTAATAACTGAAAATGGTGCCGCTCAGAAGGCAGTCAGTGGATTAGTAAGCCCCAAGCAGCGTTCCATAGGTAAGAGGCACTTCTGAGAGTTACCTGCTGCGATAATTGACTAATCTGAGTGACCTACGGGATTGGCTGTGTTTTCAGTGGGATTTAGTAGGTGCCAGGAGTTTATCCCCTATTGCACATCCTTTCTGGTTTCTCTCATTTCTAAGCTTGGGAGATTGCCCTTGCCTCCTGGAAGTTGGCACAAATGAATTTATTTCATCTGTGCTTTTAATTTAGTTTTCAATGTCCTGTGTAGGTGAGATGATGGCACTTCGTCCACACTCCCCCATCTCCTTGATGGTGAGGGATCTGAGGAACGTTTGGTAACAATTTCAGGAGAGGGGCCTTCTACTTTCAACTCCAGGATCTATGAAGTTTCAAAGGCAGAATATTCTCTAAGATCCTGCCTACAACGTATTACTTGCTAAAATTAGTTTCAACACTATCTTTAGGTAATTAGTTGCATAAAGTGAGTTATGTGAAAATGCTAAACATGTATATATCTCTCCTTCTCCATCCTTCCTCTCCCCTCCCTCACCAAGGAATGATGATGTATAGTGAAAACACATGAAACACAGAAGGAAATGACTTTTAGGGTGAAGTTGTTCCCTGGCTGCTTCTGGGAGCAATTGATTCATTCTAACTCCAGTATTGGAAGATTCAGGCAATATCTATATGGACTCCATGTTGTTACAATTTTGGCTAACATGAACAGTGAAATTATTTCGTTCAGTGATTGATCCATGGGATTATATCCTTTCAGATGTGGAAGGGATTTAATTCAAGCAACCAACCATGCTTAAATTGGCTTTAAAATATCCACAGTAATTTAAAGGAGTTTATTTACCTCTCCTTGACTAACTCCAGTGACCAAAGAACTCATTACCAATTGAACCTCTCACCCATACCCCTGCCTTATGAATTCCCACTGAGATTTTAGAGTGCTCCAGTTATAATTAAATTTGTCATTGTATAACGAGCAGAAATCTTTTTAAAATTGAGACTTTAGATTTTAAAACTATGTTGTATTCACAACTTATGGACAACATGTGTAAACCAAATGTGACTTATTAAGCAAAATAATAAACAGTCATGAATTGAAGAAATAGGACATAACCAATGCCACTGCATCTACTTAGTTTCTCCTCCTTTATCCCTCTTATGTTCCTATGCCTGGAAGTGACCATTAATCTGAATTTCGTAGTTATTATTCCTTTGTTTTTAAAAATTAATTTTATCACCAAAGTTTGTATCTTCAAACAATATCTTGCTTAGTTTTGCTTGTTTTGGATTTTATACAAATTTCATTACCCATTAAGTCACCTTTTGTTGCTTGCTACCTTACACTACCTTGACATTTTAAAGAAGCATCTGTGTGGCTATAGTCTATTCAGTTTCACTACTGTGTAGTATTCCATTGTATAAATATACAATTTATGTTTTCATCCTCCTGTAATCTTTCTTTATTCTGAGGCCATAAAAATATTCTCCTATATTTTCTTCTAAAAGTTTCATAGTTTTGCTCTGCACATTTAAGTCTATAATCTATTTGGTATTGATATTTATGTGTGCTATGAGTCAGGAACTCAATTTCAGTTTTATTCAATGGCATATGGTTTTTATGCACATGGATAAACAGTTGTCTTAGAATCATGTATTGAATAGACACTCTTTTTTTCTCTCATTTGCAAAATTATCTTTATCAAATCTCAAGTAACAACTATTTTGCATAGATTTGTGTTTAAGCTCTTTTATATAATCCATTGTCCTTTTTCTCTGCGCTGATGACATACTGTCTTAATTACTAAAACTTTGCAATAGTCTTGACTTGTGGCAAGAAAATACCTCTGTCTTATTTCTCATAGTAGTATCATGCCTATTGGACCTTTCTTACTCCATATGAATTTTAGAGTCAACTTGTTAAGCTTCTTGAAAAAAATCCTGGTAGAATTTTGTTTGGAATTATATTGCTTGTATAGATTCATTTGGGAAAAATTTATCCCTTTTAAGATATTAAATCTTCCTATTCCTAAACATAGTATATCACCAAAGTTTTTAAGGCCTTCTTTGATATCTTCCAGTAAAGTTTTATACTTCTCCAATAAAGGTCTTAATATATTAAATTTATTTCTGCACAACCTAAACATGTTTTTTGCTACTTAAATAATATCAGTATTTAAAATTACATTTTATGTTTGATTTTGGAATATTCATCTTATACCAATTTGCCTTGCTACACTTTCTGTTGACAATCATCTACATCTAAACAATTCCATATATATATCATATATATGAGTTTATTTCTTCTTTTCTAATTACTTCCTTTCTTTCTTCCTTCCTCCTTATTCCCTTTCACTCTCCTTCCTTCCTGCCACCCCTCATTTTCCCTTCCTTCTTCTCCCTCTCTCTCTTCCTTTCTTTTTCTTTGGTTAGGAGACCCAGTTCAGAGATACATAGACGTTATGGTGAGCATTCATGTAATATTCCTGATTTTAAAGAAAATGTTTTCTAATTTTTCACCACTAAAATGGTATTTGTTACAGGCTTTTGATATCTATCAGGTTAGAGATCAGATTATCGATCTTAGAAAAGTTTTCTAAGAATTTGTTTCTTACCATGAATAGAGATGAATAGTGTCAAATGCTTTTCTGTGCTTGTTTTTACCTCTAACCTATTAATTTACTGAGTTACAATGATATTTATACTATTAAACTACTCATAATCCTAGGATTAACAAATGTGGTTACTGTCATTTTATACTCTGAGAGGTTTGATTTCCTAATATTTAGGCTTTCGTGATCTAAGTTCATAAGTAATTTGTAATTTAGTAATGAGTAATTTTTAGTGAGTAATGTAATTTCTAATTTTCCTTTTTTGTATTGTCCTTATATAATGTGATATCAAGGATATATTTTCCTCATAGACTGAGTTGGGCAATAATCCATCTTATTTTGTTCTTAGGAAAATAAACTGTTTCCAATTGGAATAATCTATTTCTTGAAAGTGTGGCTTTATTTGCCTGTAAACCATCCAAGCCTGGTCTAATGGTGTGTGTGTGTGTGTGTGAAGATTTTAAAATATTAATACAACTTCTTTCTTTGTTACTGGGCTATTAAAACTTCCTATTTCTTAAAATCCTATGCTATAAATTTTCTAAGAATATTTCATTGAGGTTTTAAAATGTATTATCATAGAGATATTTAGTATTCTATTTTAAAAATTTTTTAAAAATTCTAGTGTTATTTATGTCTATCCATTTTCTTTGTATTACCCAAACTTGCCAAAATTTTCTCTATTTAATTGTCCTCCAAAGGACTGACTTTTGTCTTATTCTATCTTTATTTTCTCTTTCGACAATTTTGCTCTGATTTTTCCCTCTATTTTCTTTTTGCTCTATTTTTAAACCTCTTATTTGAATGTCAGTTCATTAGTTTTTCAAGTCTTCTTCCTTTCTAATATATATATACTTAATCTGCAAATTTCCCTATAATCTTTGCCTTAGCTCTATTCTACAAATATTGGTAGGTAAATTTTTCATTATAGCTTAGTTCTAAATATTTCTCAATTTTCCATTATTATTTCTTCTTTGACTCACAGATAATTGAGATGCATAGTTTTGAAATCTACAAACTACAGAGATATTTAAATTTATTTCTTTGTTACTGACCTCCAATTTAAACTGCACAATGGTCGAAGAATCTGGTCGGCACTGATTTTTACCCCTAAACATGTTGGTATGTGTTTTGTGGCTTAGTACAGTTAATTTTTGTAAATATTTTGTAAATAATCTTGAGCTTGAGAAGAATCAGTACTATCTATTTACTTGTAACAGGTTCTATATTTGTCTCATAAATCTAGCATATTATTATTTTGCTAAACTTGTCTATATATTTGCCGACACTTTAAGTTTTAAGTAAACTAAGCAAGGGATTTCTATTGAAATTTCACATGATTAGAATGGTGCAAATTGTCCCTATATCTTATCTTTATATTTTTCTTTACATATAAATGCTACTTTGGGCATACAGGTTTAGAATGGAATGTATACATGGTGAATTAAGCCTTCTGTAATTATGTAGCATCTAACTGTAACCATAATAATTGTCTTTTGTCTTAAAATCAATTTTGTCTGGAATCAATATAGATATACCAGCTTTTCATTTGATAAACATTTTTCTAGTATAATTTTTTATGCCTTTATGCTTTCAGCCTTTCTGTGTCTTTGTGTTTTGGGCACGTCTTTTATAACCACTTAACTGAATTTTTTGCTTTAATACATTCTTGTAGATCTCTTTTAACAGATGACCTTAATAGTTTACATTTATCTTAATTATTGATCTATATGGATGCCTTTTTTCCTACCATGCAACTTGCTTTCTATTTTGTTACAATTTTACATGCTCCATTTTTCCCGTTCTTGTCTTTTATTTGTTGAATTTTTGTGTGTTTGGTTCTTTTATTGCTTTGTTTTGTTTTGTTTTCTTATTCTATTTTGTTCCATCTACTGTTTTGGATGTTATATACTCTCCTTACTAATTTTAATGGTTACTCTCAAATTTTTACCTTATACTCTTAGCTTATACCTTTTATTTAGAAGCTTATTTTTATTAGTATTGAAAATCCCTGCCTGAAAAATGCATGGATTTAAAATTTTTAAGCCTACTCACTAGCTAGATAAAACATTTTTTTTGTTGTCCAGTATTTTAGTTCTGTCATTATTGTATGTCCTCATTATTTTATACATTCAATATTTGCTTAGATTCTCTGCCACTTTGGACCATGTCACTGGAGCTCCAAGAAGTTTCTTTATTCTCATTTGTCTTTGCATATAGTACATTGGAAAGCTTTGAGAAGCTTTGCTTATGACCAAATATAGTGTCTTTCCAAACTTAAGTTTTAAAATAATGGAAGACAGCTGTTTTTAGAGATATGCTGGTAAATGTTTAACAGCTTCCTAGAAAAAAAATTCCTTCTTTGTAGCATTTGTTAATTTTCACAGTGTAAATTCTGCCACTATAGCTTGTATCAAGCTACGATTGTGATGTGAACCAGCTTGCAAGATTCCTGAATATTTATCAATGTGTTCTTATGAATGAGAAATTGTCCTAGCACATCACTGGCTATTTGGTACCTCCTGAATCATCCTCATACCTGTTTAGGTAATTCTCAGTTCCTTCAGCCATTCTTTATCCAATAGAGCTTTGAGTATACTAGAGTTTATCTGCATTTTCACTTTAGAATTAGCTCCAATGTGGTCTGTTTTATCTCAGGGGCTGAAGCCTCAGGTGTTGTTTTGGGTTGTTTAGCATCATCACGAGTTCTATGAACTTTATGAGAATCTGGCTAGATAGAAAATGTCATAGGGTGAATATATAGGCATGCTGTCTGAAGCAGCTGTCTGAATTTGCTTTCTTCTCCTTGAAAGAAGAGAAGTGGCTACTCAGACCATCATCAGAGAATTGGGCATAGCAATCGTGGCAACAATGTTTGGCACCAGTGTCAGATACAGAAGGAAAAAACCCTTCTCAAACATAAAAGGGAAACTAATGTGTGGAAAAAGCGGTTCTAACAGCTTACCAGCAGATTGGTGGTGATAAACCCGAAATAAACTCCTTATTACTGAATGTTCAGTCCTGAAAAATTATGTGGCATACAGATCTTGTTCTACCCTTGTATATCTCCCACCTGACTCTCATCATCCTTTTTATCGAGTCATTAGCTTCCGTTGACTTTTTCTTCCACTTACTCTGTTTCGGGAAGAGCCTCCTTTTGAGGTCATTTGCCAGTGCTTCCTCGCATCAGAGGACACCGTGTATTCGACACTGCCTTCAGGTTGCTCAGATTTCCCTGTACATTTCCTAGAGGTTAAGGACTATGCAAATATCAGGGGATGATGATTATGGTTATGGTTGTTGTCTTAACAATGTACTCTTTGGAACCTCTTAGGAAATCAGGGTCCTTTTAGCTTACTGATTTCATAAGTTAAAGTTTCTCAAATCACAAAGATCTCGAATCTCAATGTTGAGGTAGTAGCCTGCCTGCACCATTGGACTGGAGGACTCAATGCAGTTGCTTGAGGCAGTTTTTATTCTGTGGATGCTGATGTTCTCACACAACTGGGTACAATTCTTCACCAAGGCAGCTCTGTCACAGGTCAGAAATGTGAAATGGCTGATAAATAAATCTGAAGAATTAATTTCCAAACCACTTTTCTTTCCAGGGTAGTCATGTGAAGATAGGGTCTCTGGGGTGGCCGGGAGAACATTTCTTTATCTGCTAACTGGGGAGAAGGCTGTTCTCATGCTGGAGATAGCTTCTTTTGCAATCTGTTGGTTATGCCAAGTCACAAGTCTAGTCAGATTCGAGGGCTGGGGACACAGTCTCCACCTCTTGGTGAGAGGAACACAAAGTCACATGGCAAAGTGATGGAAGTAATTATAGCCACTTCTGCCAATATTTACTGCAGGTATGTAAGCATTTAGAGAGGACATCATCGTGTATGCTAGGTAATTTTTCCTTTTTTTCCTTAATGTTTTCCAAAGTACAAGTTAAGCCAATAGAGATACTGACAGCGACAATGTTGAAGATTCACTTTCAGCCTTTAGTAGTTTGTTCAATTACTAACTAAGCATGTTGCTACCCCAAGAAAGAAATAATGTAAGCTGTTTTTTTTTTTACTGTGATACTTTAAAATGACCAAAGATATTTATTCGCCATTCAGAAATTCATATTTGGTAGGTTTATATTTATTTTAAAAAATAAATTCCTTTTCTCTTTTTATATATCATCATATTATAATTTCATTTGTTCATGTGAATCTAATACAGTCTTGCTTTAATATTAGTGGCCTGAGTGAAGTACAGTAAGAGCTTTAGGCAGGTATAGAAGTTCCTTGTGATATGATAAGAGCAAAATGTAGAGTTTATAAATATTTAGTAAAATATGATAATCTTTGGACACTAGATCTTTCAAGTAGCATCCTTAAATCCACGTTATTATCAATATTATCATCTTAATTACACTTCCTATTTTACATCTTTAACACATTAAACTTTATTTACTAAATTTTATTCTATTATATAATCTATAGTAAGAATTAGGTGGAATTATGTAAACGTGATAGGACACTACATAGGAACCTAGCATAGCAGCCCCACAACCAGTCATACCTGGCCTGATGGGCCATAGCACATGTTTTGTATATTGATACAAGACATTCTTTTAGACTGTAATGTTAATGAACCCTCTTGGGTTGAGCAGTGCACAGCCTCTACAACTGCACTGGGAATTCAGGATGGGTGCCAGTGAGGAGTGCTTGACCTAATGAAGGGAATTTTACTGGGCACTAGCAGTGGAGGCTAAGGAGAGGCAGTTGACAGAGTATGTAGAGTGCTGGGGAGATGGTCCAGGGGCACATCCTTTAGGACACCACACAGCCGATAGTCTGCATTACCTATGCATAAGGCCAGCAAAGGAAGGAGCAGTCCACTGGAGTTGGGAGACCGGGCTCCATCCATAGCTTTGTCAGTCCTGTGGCATCCATGGAGAACTCCCAGGGCTGTTGTGAAGACAGTGTGGGATGCACACATGAAAGCTCTGTTGTGGTGAAAAAGAAAGGTAAGCAGCTCATCCCTGGAAGAGCAAATCTGTTTAGTGATGATTTCCCACTTGGTGTATGTGGTGAAGTGGTGGGCCAATGACTTTGGTCACATGATGGTTAAACCTGCCTGCCACTGACCCTGCCTGAGCCAGTCATCACTGTAACTGGTGACACGGACCTTCGCTGACCCGTGTCTCCCCTTCTTGGACCCTTTCTCCCACTCAGGACTTGAGGATTTCAAGGCCAACCTGTGGCGGGCAGAGGGGTGATGTCCCCTCCGACTTGTCCTTGACAGATTGGATAACAAATGAAGCACATGGTCAAAACAAAATGTTACCATGAAGACTGCTGATAGGTGAAGGGCAGGCAGTTTTGTCAGCCTGATGGACAATCGGGGCTGCTTTTGAACAAAGTGGCTTTTGATATTCTTGCATTAGTTTAATTTCCCACAGAGAAACATAGAAGGTCTCAGGCGCTTTTAAAAACACAACGGAGAGAATCCAAGTCACATCTTAGTCTCTGCAAATGATCTTTGGGTCAGGGTCTTGACCCCAGCACTTCTAGGCTTCAGAGTAAGTAGAAATTGAAAGGGAGCACACTTGGGAATGGGGATGCATGGATAGGAGGGTCAGATGCATCGTCTGTTCAGACACCAGGCAGGGGCTGGGGTTAGGGGTAGGGAAACAGGTGGTGGCTGCAACTAGTCACTGGTTTGATTGTGAGAAGTTTCATAAAAAATTCAAGGCCAATGAATATTTTCAGAAATTTTTGTAGTGAAGCCACTATTAATATAAATCTACACCTGGTGTCTTCCAAAAAGTTTAGCTCTAGGAGTTGATATGTACAAGTCTAGGATCCTGCCCTTTGTCTTAAGGAGGTAAACATTTAGTTATGACAACAAGATGACAACATATAACATTCTTTACTTCACAGGAATACAATCAAGAATGGAGGTGTTGCCTTACACTTAATTACAAACTGTGTGGCCTGCAGGGCTTTTGGGAACATTGATTTTAAGCTGAGTCCCTAGCAGTAAAGATAAGTAGGTGTGGCATTCTCTCACTTAGCTGGTTCCTGCACCCACCTGGACCTCTCAACCAAACCCCCAGTGAAACAAAACATTCTAACTGTGTACCTATAGGCAGGATATAGGCGTATTCAAAACAGCGGCAGAGCAGGGGCACTGTTTACGAAAGCAAGGGTGTCAATTGGCAGCAACATAGCACTGCCGGCTGAAAACCCAAGGTCTCTTCTATTTTTATTCTTTAGAATGAAGAAAAGTAGTACCGACATCCCATTATGAATACGGTTAAAGAAAAGAGAAGCAGTGAAATCTCACTGCTTTCAAAGGAGAGTTTATTTGACTCCACAAAGGTCCCCTTGCCGTTGCCTCACAATAATGTCGCCTTCCCTGCAGGCTTCTCGGGCAGCCCTGGTGCTGTGATGTCTCTCTCTCTCTCTTTTTTTTTTTTTAACAGTTTCATCTTTTCTTATTTTATTGAAGTG